TGACACAAAGATCTAAAAAAAAAATTATGAGACAAATATGGAGTTAAGAATAGTAAACAATTAGAAAAAAAATATATTTATTTAGTATTTTTTAAGGAAAGGTCTACAGGGTGTTCAGGGTCTCACTACTAAATCAGACTCGTAGTGATCTGCCTGTTTACAGCCTCCCAAGAGCTGGGATTACATGTGCGCGCCACCACGTCCAGTCTCAATTGCTGTCTCAGGACACTCTGGGGACCGGGCCAGCATAGAAGGCTCAGGATCGAACCCCCACCCCCTGCACCTGCTTACAGGTGCTTTAATCTGATGAGCTATTTGGCTGGCTCCACTAATTAGAAATTTTAAACAAAGATTATTCTCCTCAGTTGTATATACAGGTATATTCTTAATGGCAGGGAACTTAATTATTAATGTAATGAAAAAAAGAATAGATGGAAATAGTCTTTTTATCCTTTCTATAAAATATAATAATGATTAAGATTATGTTGGTGAGCAGAATATTTCCCATTTAAAAAATTTAAAAGACACAGAAAATTAGAGATAATGCTTTCATATTATTATCCTAGTGTCTTAGAATATTTCCATTACTCCAATGAAACACTGATAATTGCCAAGAAGTTAACTGGCTGTCAAAGAACCCTACAAAGAAGCAACATGTCATGTAGTACAAAAGACAGAGAACATCTCTCCATCTCTGGTTTCTTATTTTTAATATGATTTAATAAGACACTGTACACAAAGTAGTACTTAACAAATTGCCCAGCACACAGTTGATATTCAATATTATGCATATATTATATGCTGAGAAATAAGTTATTGTTGTATAAGCCACCTGTATTATTTTATATCCTTAAAATAGCTCCAAAACATATACTACCACTGTACAAAGTCATAATAACAGGATATTTGTATCTGTTTAATCATAAAAAATGTAATGTTGGAGCTGGGGAGGTGGCTCAGTGGAATAAGTGCTTCCCTGGCAAGCATAAGGGCCTGAGTTCAATCCCTGCTTCCGCAAAAAAAAAAAAAAAAGTTAGGTGAAATTATACTTGAGAAACAATTTATAATAGGTACATTCAAAGGTATTAAATCTGTTTATATTTATTTATTTAGCAGTAGTAGGGATTAAACACAGGCCTTTTGAACTCACATACATCTCCAGCCTTTAAATTTTTTTTCTTGAGATAGGCTCTTTTTTT